CGATACGCGCGTCTCGAAATTCGCGCGTGCACAGCGAGCGAAATTTCGATTTATACGTCCTCTCGCGTCTTGATTAGATATTATTGACGTGACTCGCGTCGCGTGCCGCGCGGTATCCAGGTGAAGTTGCCGCCGGCAGGTTTTTGGAAACGGCCGTTTCGACCATTGCATTGACGAGGCGTCGCGGACAGGAGAAGGATCGATCATCGCTGTCGGAGTCGGACGGCGTCGCGACTAGTAAATAAGGTCGTGATTAGCTCTCGTCTTTTAATATTTGTCAACGGCGTGGCATAAATTCGCGCGTATCACGGCGGTGATACGATTTTTTTGGCAAAACACACGCTTTGTGCGATTTATTCGATCGAGGAGTGTCGCGTCGCTCCCGAAAACGCTCGGCCAAAACGACGGTCATATTTTCGGGATATCGCACGCCGTGAATATTTATCTTTAATTCCGACCCGGGTATTCGTTCGCACTCGCATATTTGTTCACTTATCTCGCGATGGAACGCGAGCAGGGTATGTTCGTAATTCAAGGCGCAGCGCGCAGGTAAGAGCAACCAGATGCAATCGGCGCGGCCAGCGCGGCGTGAAGTTGGCCGCGCGTATACCGTATACCCTCTGCCTGTCCGCCATTTCGGATGCGCCTGTCGCGTTAATTTGCGAAACGTCGCGTACGTTTTCGAGCGGATCGCAATTTGGGAAACGATTGAAATGTTTCTCGCGTGTTACTCTCTCCGTCGCAATACGTGCGTGTTGCTCGCGAGCTGGTTTCGGGAGTGCCGCCTAAAATGCCGCGCGATCGTCCCCGGTGATTAACGTACGCGCGCGCGCGATCGTAATTAACCTTGTTTCGGGAGTGAGCGTCGTGCGAGCGTCGTGCGAGCGCCGTGAAGGAACGACGACGAGGCGGAGGCCGAGGGGAGGAAGAGGCCTGGGAGGCGTCGGGCGACGGCGGAGCACCGTGGGGTGAGTAATTTATCCACATTTAATACTCATTTGTCTGTATTGTCTATATCATTTAATAATATACATCTATATTTGCGCGTTGTTGGAATTAATTGTTGTTCTATATGCGCGCAATAATTATCTTTTGTAATGGCATGCGGAGTGCGGTAACTTGGATTTAATTGTATTTTACAGATCGACGTGGGGTTCGACGTGGTTCGGCTCCGCCGCTGCGCGCCGTATCGGTGAGCAAAAGAATTGATTTTATTTTGATTTGAAGCGATGGATCTATGAGAATTTTATCGGACATAAATATAATGTGAAATTTATGTGTTTAAGTATGTATTATCTATAAATATCTTACAAATCTGTTTAAATTATTTAAAATGAACAACCTTAGTAATTATTTAATCCTGGAATATATTAATATGATAGTATACCATTCGACGAAATTTAGATTTTTTTAATACATATTACATATTACACATTTTTTGTATATATAGGCAAGATTTTTAATAATGAAATTGAAGAGAACATTATGAGGATGCAAAATATTAATATTATTTATGGATAAGTTTAACATACATTAAATTAAATTAAAAATTTTTGTCTTTTATGTGTTAGATTAATAATGAAAGATGAAGAAGAGAAAACAAAATAAAATTACAGCAAATAAAACATTGTTATTTTAAAAATATAAATCTTTCATTTAATTTTCCTCATAATGTTCGTATTTCTACAACAGAGATCAGACTTTTAGATTTTAATATTTTATATGTGTTTATATGTGAAATAAAAGTAAATTAATAGTGATATAACATATTAAGAATTATTAATAATTAATTACGTAAGAGATTTTATTTTCTACCATCCATCTGTTTCCAGATATCTCTTTTAAAATTGAGGTATCTCTATGTTCTCTTCCAGGATTAAATATAGAATAAACTGGTGCAATAAAATATATGACACTCATATAGGAAATATTTTATATATCTCAAATTAATTTATTTAACGAAAATTATAACGATCATTAATTGTGTTTTTCTTATAATGCACTAACTTTATTTTAATCCTTTAAAGCTTAGTCGTTTATGTTTATTAATCGCCTTATTTGAAATAAAAATAAAATAAATTTAATAACTATTTTATCGCGTTATAATCGTACAATTATCAATGGCATCATCAGATTTTGCGTGAATAATTATTTTATTTTTCAATTGAATACACAATTTCAGTAAATTTTAATAAAATCAATTGAAATTTGATTATGAAGCGTCTGCTTTCTCTTGAATGATACACTCTTGAAACGGGATTTATTTTGCGATTTCGAGAGAGATTACAAGTACGGTCTGTATTAAATATTGAGACAACTGTAAGAGAGCTTGAATGACCGTCAAACAAGTTTGCATCGTAGAGAGATATATTAGTAGTGATTCTGCATTCGCCAAGTTTCGAACTAGTTACGCGTGCTAGATTATAGGGATTCGCAAAGGGTACAAGTGGAAAGAGGACGACGGACTAGCAAACTTCCGTCTGTAACGGTTGCAACACACATTAATTGTAAGTTTCAGTGGATATGTCTATAATTCTATAGAGATGTCACGGTACACGGTATCGGCACGTGTTACGAAAAGCCGTATCTATTTACAAAACGTCGGGGGGAAGCGTTACAAAAATCCAAATCCGCACCGAGAGGATTTAAAATGTATGCCGCTATAAAATTTATATATAAATCTTTTATCGAAAATCCACGATTTGAGCAAAATATTACAAAAATTTGCGTTATAATTGCGCATAGCGTTGCGCAACTATATATTATTCTCGACGTTCGCATATATTTGCCCTAAAAAAATATCGAATTTTTCGCCCCGAACACCTTTTCACCT